CCACCGGAGAGATAATCAATTGACTTCTATTTTGATATTTGCAATCTGTTTTATTCTAGGAAGTCATAGGGGTCATCATTACATTACACACTGCTCATTGCTATTCTTTCATGAAAGTATCTTATGTCAATACTTTGCGTTGTTCTTTTCTTCTCGGGACTACGATAGGTGCGGAGTGAGGAAGTGAAGTATAGTATGCGCGCCCAACATGCTCGACACGGGACAAACTGAATGGTATCTGGCCATGCGAGTCAAGCCTCTCCACTCGCAAGTCTTAGCTTGGTACAGGGTTTGTTGGCGACCAAAACAGCTGGATTCTACTTAGCAGGCAGGCCTTCTTGGAAATTGACATTAAGATACCACTGTGAATGGAAGTCGAATGGTAATGCATCGCTGGTGGGTTTGATCGCAAGGCATTTCACCATAACCCCTTCCATACTCCTTGATGATCTAGAAATGTTTTATGTAGCGCTCTAGGAGTAAGCCGTGTTCATTGGGATGTGTACTGGATTTCCACCGTGTAACTTTTCCATGGCAACAAAATCGTTCTCATGAACTAGTCAATGACGTATTGATATTACTTCTTTTGTATGTCTCATACGACGTAAGCGTCCTAGTTTAAGGATTGTCACGGCCAAGATTGACGCTTTTGGGAAGATACACACTATTATTGGGAAGCGCCCCACTCCATTTCTTCAACTTTTTGACGTTTTTTTTCTTGATTTGGTACGATACCTTAAAAATCACTTTGTCAGTTACCCATTGTGTTACCCTGCTGTGCCACGGTGACTGCCAGGTGTGGAAACTGCTTAAGGGCTGAAAAGAAAATTTTAAATCATCATTATTATGATACACACAACAATATTTAACTCGAACTAAGTACAACAAGAGTGTTCAAATGATCCAATTCTTATTGGCGCATCGAGTTCGGTCGTAGTCTGAAGTGAGACGGATGTCCTTTCTCATATTGTGTGATCCTGCGTATTGGATCTACAACAAAACAACAGTACAAAGCTCACTGCGTGGGTTTGATGAGAATCTACACCGTGATACTCAAGGCTTTTGACCATGCTCCCTACTCTATGACCTCTAATTTCCTTAATCGAACCTAGGCATTGAATGGAACGGGGTAACAAACAGAATTTTTCTGGGGAGAAGTGATGATCAAGTCACTAGTCATCCAGTTGTTTAGTAGTCTACTCCTCATAATTCAGCGCCTCCCGTACATGTCACTAACAATATCGTATCTCACTCGAAATTGGTCTGTTTTTAAAGCTCTTCGAACTAATCAAATGGGCCCACAGGTCTCTCGCGCTCCACTATTGAATAGGAACGAAACATCTAGGCCGATGTCATCCACGAGCAAATCGAGGCGATTTCGCTAGCGATCGGGCATGCAGCCAGCGATCGAAAGATTACAGCGATCATTAGGCATCGAACCAACGTTTACCATTTAATGGCCTCACTTATCCAGCACGTGTCATTGACAGTGGAATTGCTGGTTTAAAAGTGGCGGGCGAACTTGTCCTTTGAACGTCGGGCCCGCCCACTATTGAGTCGCTGTACTTAGTTCGACTAACTGTACATCGTTCGACATCGCTGGTTGCAATCGTGCGATCGCTTGCGCGCGCGTCGGATCCACGATTCGATTGCGAAATCCTTCGATTCTCAAATATGACTCGGCCACCTTCCATGCGATCTGCGGTCTAACAAAAGCTGGATCATAGCAAATAAGAAATCATTTGAAACACTCACCCTTCCTGCTATAAGATGATGAAACTCTCAGTGTTCTCACGCTCTGGCAACGTCGATGTTGTACAGTTTCTTAACTGCGTTTCCGAATCTGGATGTTTATTTTGCTCTTGATACGTCGACCATGGAAGACGAAGTATTGTGGTCTTCGATCTCTTTCATCGCGACTCTCAGTTGAGGAGGATGTTTTGATTATAGCTGTATGTATCCGAGCTATTGCGAGCCCGCGCCGATTTACGAGGAACCTAAAATAACATGAAAAACATTAAATTTACTCGAGAATCTGTTCGTGAGGAATGGCGAACGTGACGTCACAAAGAGGGACCGAACCACAAGTTTCCACACTACAGTAGGCTCTGGCCGATGTCAGCACTTTGCGATTTGAGCGATTTGCTGCACAACTGCAGGAGCGACGGATCGCTGAGTGGAGGGGATCCATCGTCGAGGCGAGATTTACACGCCGACAAGATAATTCGCGTCATCAGCCGTAAATGTCCGTCGCTTCGCACTGCGAGCGAGCGGGATTTACAAAGCGCCAACCACCGATATCCGACGGCCAACCAGCTCGTAAATCTCTCCGTCGCTCGTATCCTTTGCGGAGGCGATGGAAATCGCTTGAGGCGATCTCTCTCCCGAATGATACGAGCTCCCGAAGTAGAAGGCGTGTATAAAGTGCCTTGACGCAGTTGTGGCAGGAGTTGCGACGACGGGACATTTACTGATGTGGGCCGAATTATCGTTGGTCGGCCCCTGTAAATCTCCTCGCTCGCTAGCCGATGTAAGCCGCTCAAAGCGATCCGTCGCTCTTGAATTTGTTCCACAATCGCTCCAACTCGCAAAGTCTGACATCGCGACACGCTGCCATTTCGACAATTTTAATGTACATCTGAACACTGACGCTCTTTGCGTGCGATAACAGTATAGGTTGGTCGATAGACCTTGTTAGCTCTACCAAATACCGAAAATCAAATAAAGTCTTGGCAAAACCATACTCCTACAGATTATGTACATTACTTCTATGCTGAGCCAATATTAAACACCACATTCC